CAAGGTTTAATTACATTATAAATGTAATCCACTGGCACAGGTTGCCCAGAGAAGCTGTGGATGGTCCAATCCTGGCAGTGTTCAAGGGCAAGCTGGATGGGGCTCTGGTCTAGTGCAAGTAGTCCCTGCCCATGGCAAGAGGGCTGGAACAAGATGGTCTTTAAGGTCCCCTCCAACACAAACCACTCTATGATTCTACAAAACAACACCTGGCCAGCTATCCACCACTGGATCCTTGGACACCTGGAGATCACAAAGCCATTTATCTGCATTAAAGCTTTCCTGAAAAACATTTACTCTGTAGATTTCCACATCACAGTGGTTCGTGTCAAGAATGTGTTTTCAAGTAAGAATCTACAGATCAGTGGCTTCTGGAGACAAAAAACCCCTGCTGTTACCTGTGTCTGATTCAGTCAGGAGCAAGCTCTGGGTAGTGGAGAAGAGCAAGACATCACTGAAAGATGTCACTGAATCTTCAACCACACCTCTTAAGTAAATCTCCACAAATCTGCCATCCCTGCTACCTTCTCAACAAAGCACAACTTTAGGCTCAGTCCTGAAGCCAAACTGCATTTGTTAACACACTTAACTTTTCTGAATGAGCTCAATATATTACAAGGCTCCAATCCTCCTTCTTTGGGATTATAAACCATGATTAGGTGCTATTTCAATTCTCCCTGGGACATCCTATGTGCCTTTCTTGTATCAAACACTCTCCTCAAATGAATTTTAACAGAAGCTGGAGACTTTGCAGCTTGCATCACAGAATTTCTGCATTTTGTAACTAATGCAAGACCTTCTGACTGCCTTCAGAAATGCAACATTAAAGGTCTGCTGGTTTTAATGACATTTGTAGTTAGGGTTCTGTATATCAAGACAGAACCAAGGCTTTTCAACTTATCTCCCAGGCAAGACACAGACCCTTCCCCCCCAGTAGTATTACTTTTGGCACAGTTAGTGGATGAATATTCACAACCACCACGGGTATTCCAACTGGGGAGGAGATTCAATGTCACACTTGATATTGTTTTGAATGAGAAGAATATGCACCAAGCCTTTGATTCCTATTCTGTTCAGGAAAAAATAGGAAATGTTTTCTTAAAGTACAGCCAAAAAAAAAGGACTATTGTTTCTCCTGCGGTTGGGTTTTGTTCACAAATGTTTTCCCTCCAAATAATACCCATCTTCCTGTGTTTACATTCATATACCAACAAAAAAACAGCCACTAAAGAGTTCCAAGTGGCCTTAAAAGGGTGGGTTTGGCCTCTTTTTTTGGTGGGGGTACTTAAAGGGGAGGTTGTTTTGTTTGTGTCTGTGTGCACACAAGCATGATAAAGCTTTTAGACACCAGAGATTTGGCTTCTCCTACACACTGATCCAAAAACCAGTTTAGCTGTTACATTTATACTAAATAAAGGCCACTGGTCATGCTCAGTCATTTAAGAAGTTCTCACCCAGTCTCCACCACCACTCTTGCATGGAATGGCACTTTTGTATTATGCTGTCAGATGTCACAGTTCAGACTTCCCAGGTATTTTGGCTATGCCAAGATACTGCAAAATTCTCTGGGTTTCTTGAATTTTAATACTGGTTTTGAGACACTTAGAGAACACTTGTAATGCTTATCCTTCAGGTGCCAATAAAGCCCCACAGCCATTCTTTTTTCCTCAAAAAAATATTAATGTTTATATAATTCACAGTTTATATGTCAAAATGCCTCCAAAAGTTGATAGGAAAAAAAAATCAGAAAGATTTCACTTGTTTGCACAGAGACTGAATTTTAGATTGAGAGTTACAGAATAAACCTTGAATTTCACGCCCTTTATATTCATTCCTAAGTTCCACCATCTCCCCCATCCTGTCTTTAGAAAGTTTTCATCTTTTGATTTCAGTTGTCCCAGGCCCTGTTAAACTATAACCATAAAATATGAGTTCTACAATATCCTGTATTTTATAAACCTTGAAGTAACTTTGGAAAAGCCAAAAAAAACAAAACCAAAGACAGTGTGGTTAAACAACAAGGCCAAGTGACTGTTAGAGGTATAAAATTACCGTTCAAGAAGTTGAAGTCATGCCCAAACAAGTTCAGAACCACCACCTTTGGCACATTCAATATAAAACCACGACAAAAATAGCCAAAAATATTTAAGAAGCAACTTGCTAAAAGGCAGAAGAACTAATAGCAAATCCTGCCTGAAGAGGCAGAAGCAGCAGAAGCCTGCCAGCAGCCACAGGGCCAGCAGAAGATCCAGGATGTCTTCAAATAATGCACAACCACTGAAGGAAAGTTACAGGAACTTGGAAGTCCTTTAAATGAATTAATTGTATGGCAATGTCTTCACCCTCCTCCCTCCTTTTTTAATGAGGCAGGTATTGAAAGAGGTGTCTCCAACTGAAGCTTCAACAGGAGGATTTCAGAACGAAATTAATAAAAACTCAAGAATAAACCCTACAGTGTTTTTCCCGTGGCATTTAAAGTCACACTTTTCCTTTTCCAAGAAAGCTTCTACAGAGGTAAACCACCACAGAGGAAGGAAAACATTCCCAGCAAAATTTAAACAACTGCAAATTGCTTCTTAAATAACTGCTCTTCTAAGAACAAAACAAGAAATGAGAAATCTTGAGAAGTCACCCTGACCTATCAAAGGCAAATATATCTGCAGCTTCCAAAGTGCCAGTATCACAAACTGCTAGAAGCTTGGATAGGGCAGTGGAGGTGCAATTCCATAAGTAAGGAATCCAAACTTGGCCCTTAAAAACTGTGTGTAGGAAACTAATATCAAAGAGCATCCCTTCCATGATTGATTACAGAGCCTGATATCGCTAACTCTCAAAGCTTGAATTTCTATCCACATCTATCACTAAGAACAGTTAAAAAGCCTAAACCAACACAAAATGTGACAATTTTGATTCCCCAAAGAATATTGAAGTTAAATTACTTGGTTTAACATCTAGCAATAACTTTGAGCATAAAAAAAAGAATTTCTTGGAGAAAAAGATTTGTGCCAAATTTACCACTTACAGATAAATTAAAAGGAAGAGACATGGGAAATTAAAACAATATTATATTGAGAGACCCACAGAAATCCAAACTGACTGGAAATTTCTGTCACTTTATGAGCACATTTGAAATGTTTTTACATACAGGTGTAAATGTCTGTGTGTAAAATGAAACAAACACTAAATGAACGTGCACAGAGAGAACACACAGAGCTTCTATTTACACATAACATGCAAGTTTCATACATTGTCTTTTTTAAAAAAATACATGTCCACACAAAACTCATTTAGAAGCCTAAAGAGAAGGGTATAATCATATTACAAATACAGTCTGGTCTGATTTGAGCTCCACCAGCAGTGATCTTCTCTAAGGAAGCACTGCCGACCCTGGAGTTTTCCAAATCAAGGCATCTTCTACAGTTTACACAGTACCTTTATTTTCTGAAAAAACCATTTAACAATGATGTATGTTAATGTATTATATTCTTGCTGAGCCATGGCATTTTCACCTGAATATTTGCAGATGTTTATGCCCCCATTCCCAACTCCTCTTGTGATCCAGCCAAGTTCTAAGTTTCATTCTTTCAACTTTTCCTATAACTTAATTTTTCCATCCCTTTACTCCTTAATTAAATTCATGGTTCACATTGTTGGATGTTCATATTTTAAACAAGAGTCAGGCATCAATACATTTTAAAACTGCACTAAACATAAAGTACATTATAAAATAAAACATTATGAGCTTCTGAAAATGGAAAAAAGAATGGTATTGATTACAGAGGAGCTCTCACTTCCTGTAAACATTTCTATCTCCCTCTCTCTCACAGGCATACACACATTTACTTTAAAGGAAAACCAGAAACAAGAGTTTAATTAAACACCACTAGTCTGAATTTCAAATCAGGGAATAAACAGATGGCCACGCTTTCTAAAGCACCAGCAGGCCACTTCAATTAACTGGGACTGGGATCAGGGTCATGTCATGGAAGCTCGAAGATCTGAACCAAAGAAACACAGATATGTGTGTGTGTGATAGTTATAAATAGGAGAACATTAAAGTATTTACCACTATACAAAATTGGTACCAGCGAAAAGGGAGGAGGTTTCTATTTAAGGCCATCATTAAACCCAGACATCTCCTCTAAGTGCATCAGTACTTGCAGTGACTTCAAATCCAGTTGACTTTGTAAAGAAGAGTATTACTCTAAAAGCAATTCCTTGAGTAGAATCATCTTCTGACACTTCTGTATTCAGCAGGACTTTCCCCTGAGTAAGTACTAAGAAGGATTATTTGCTATCACTGACACTGGACTTGAGGGTGAACACCTACACAAATTTTCAACAGTGCAAGACAGATGTAAATGCAGGGGAAATTAGAAAGGTATATGACTCCAAAAGCAGCATAAGATATTTCTGATGCTCTTTGAACCTCTCAAATGTTAATTCTATACCCTACTACCTTACTCCCCTCAATATTTCTGTATCAGGACTAACTCTGCAATGCCCATGGGATACCAGTGACATCACCTAAACCTGATCTCTGCAGATTTCCTTCACCTCTCCCTGTACTGAAAACTGAGAACTCTGACACTTATTCCAATAATTTGGTTTTGCTTTCTCCATTTCCTTTTAAAAAGAAAAGAGAGATGAACAAATTCATTTAAATATTCACTGGAAATAGGAATTACATATTTTGGAGGGAAAAGTGTCAAATTATCTTAGTCCCTTTCAGAAGGCTTCCAGTCACAGAGGAATTCTGCATTTAACACAATATTGGGTTTCTTCACAGGAAAGGTTCCTAAATATATAAATACAGCACATCTTGGATTTAAAGACAGTACTGGTATATATTTATATGCAAATAAATGATACAAACATGGAACACAGTCTGGAAATAATGCTGATATTTGAATCCACCATCCACTTACTTGGAATTTGCAAATTAACTACATTACAGAAAGACTGCAACTTTGTTAAATATTTATAAAAGTAGTAAATACCTGAAGTACTCACAGCAGTGGAGTAAGGGGTATGAGCTCCTGTATTTTCAGCCCAGCAGCCACAACCATAAAGAGCTGCCTAAGGAAAGAAGTGAATTGTTCATAAATTTTAAGCACACAAGATTTTTGGTTTGTTCCCTTTCCTTAAAAAAAAACCCCAAACAACAAAAATCTCAAACCAACAACAAAAAAGAAACCCAAGAAAAATCCAAGTATTAATAGAAAAAATAAGAAAGAACATCATCATTGTATTGCAATTCCAACCCATGTTCATATGGATTGTTCATATCAAATCCTGTTCATATAAAATCTCTTTCACTCTGCTATTCCAAAAAAAGCCAAAAATTCTTAAATACATTTCAAGAGAGAACTGCTTTCAAGACAGTAGCAAAAGTTAACCAAAAATATAGCAATGGAGGATAACATTTTTGATGTACCTCAAAATTCCCTCACCTAATAACGGTAAGGTGACACACCAGAAATGTACATAACATAAATATTAATAACATTATTAATAATTAGAAATAGAAATTATTTATAAACATAATAATAAGTAAAACCAGCACATGATAAATACCTTTTGTGTTAATGCCTTTGTCACTTCCACCGATTCACAAGATCACTTAAAAATTAGTTAGGACAGCTTTCCTAAATACTGAGGGGAATCTTACTTCAAGACTTGAAGCATTTAAGACACTATTTGTGGTATTAAGGAGGTATTAAAGCCCAAGAAATTAACTTATTAAATATCTCTGGCAAAAGGTAACCCACTACAGAACAACCTCTTACCTACCCACATTTTATTGCACTGATGGAGGACACGAAGAACAAAAATTGCATTTCAGTGGTCAATACCAACTAAAAAACTGCCTAATAATGTTTAATATAGTTTTAATAAAAACTAACCTGACCAACTCTTCCAGGATGCTTCAGTGCTAAACCTCCACTGGAGACAGCAGCAGCAACGTTTCCTTCTTGGTCAACAACAACTGCCCCAACTGTATCCAACGTTCCTGAGTCGTTCTCCTGCAGGACACACAAACAGGAACACTTATAAACTAAAAACAGTTTATTAGAGGCAGATTATACTTAGGAGTGTGCAAACTACTGTACACAAAACCAATCACAGGCCTAGCAACAAAATGGATTTGTTTTCATGCACGGTTTACCCACTGTGCTGCCATAAATCTTCCTAAAATGCCCTCTTGCCTCGGACAGGACCCAAAGAAAAAGAAGGTAACGAGAAGGTAATAAAACATCTCAGAACTCATTCAATGCTTAAATCACCTGCCTTCACTCACAAAAGTGTCAAAACCACTCTTTTCTTAGTGGTGGCCATTTGTCCACTAAGAAGTGATTCAGCAACTTATTCCAAAGATCCTGTACCAAAAGGCCTTCCCCAAGGGCTTCCAGATGGAATTTTCAGAGGCTCTGATCTTTAAAGATCTTTAAAGATGTGTGATTAAAAAAACAAACACACAAAACATCAGCAAGAAAAAACAAAACAAAACCAAGAAGCAGTTTACCATGTAAAGAGAAAACTCTGATATTCTGAGTGAGACAATAAACAGAAGCCTTGAGAAAAAATCTCCCCTAGGTCAGATTCTTTCACCCAGATTTTTTTCCCAGTTCAGCAATCTTTAGGGGGTGAAACAATTTAATTTTTGCTCATTAGAAAAGTGTCCTTTACCATCTCCTCTGATGTAGATCCTCCCCCCTAAGAGCAGGGGTCTTCCAGCATGCATTCCTGACTCAAGCTCTCTGCCTGCTGTTCCACAAACACTTCTGCTCTCTCCCCTTGGATCTTTGTGCCTTTCCCCTCTTCCTTAATACACCTGTTCAGGCACTCTTAAAGAAAGAGCAGTTTCCCCCCCTCTGCCTGGGTTTTCCCTGGATTCCCCCCTCTGCAGAACCCAGGGCATGACTTCATGCCCAACCACACACCCAGCATGCAGTGTACAGAAAATAAAACTAATTAACAAAACTGATCCATCATCCATCACACACTCCAAAGGTGCACACTGATGCTGCACAAGCCTCAAGCCTCTTATATAAACTCACCCAAGGAAGGATATTCAGTTTTTCATATAAATGTGAATTTTCTGCACTAGGATCCAGAGGGAGGAAAAAAAAAAATACACCAAACTACTCAACTTCAAATTATTAAGTTCCCACCATCAATTAGAATTTCCAATGTCACTTATCAAGCAGGATTTTTAGGACTCCTACACTGATGATACTCTGGCCACACTGAAGAGAAAACACTTGAGTTCAATATTAAACCAAGCAGAGGGATGTCCCAACAGCACAGCAGAGAAACTGCTTAAAGGAAGAGAGGTGAGAAGCTACACACCCAGGGTCTCAACTAGCACCGGGAAGAAGAGCAAGTTGAAAAGCAGAGGAAGGAAAAAAATAGGATAAGAAAAGGCAAAAAGAGTTCTGAGGGCTGGAACAAAGGGGATAAGAGAAGAGCAAACTCCCTTGCAAATTGAAAAGGTGAAAGAAAATTAAAGAACCCTTCCTTAACATCTCGAGTACAGCTGTATTTCACAATTCCCAGGACTTGCAGACACCACCTAAATAAAGTAACATTAATCCAGTCTGAACAAGACTTATCAGTGGATTGAAAAGCAGCAGAGCACGCTGCTCACTGGAGGTGCAGACTCCCATCCTTGGGAGGTTTTGAATCCTCCCATAACTTCTATATAGAGAAGAACTACTAATATGATACAGGTTTTGTTGTCCCTCCCCTGCCCCCTTTTATCAAAGGAAATTATACCCACAACAAGAATTGTGATTAATAGACAACTACAGATATGAAAATCAAGCCTGTCAAAGTTAGGAAATAGCAGAATTAAGGCCACCTGGGCAACCTTAATTCCTATTAAAATCAAACATTTAGGGCTTCTATTATGAACAGAAATACATCTTAGAAGGATGATCAGTAAATTTTTCATATCATCTGACAGCCTAGGAAAACAAAATGTTTGCAGCCTTCTTTGCAGCATCTGTAAAAGTATCTGCTCAGTCTGCCATCCATCCTCTGCCTTAGCTCTCACACATATAAAATATTTGCCTTCAGTACCTCCATTACTAATTTCTTTTTTAAAGAGATCTTTTAATCAAAACCCCACAAGCGTTTACAAGTATATACTAGATGGAAATGTTCTCTATCATTATTTCATTTCAAAGAAGATCCATTTCCCATCAGTCCGTGCCATCAATTCAGTGGCAGTTTGCTTGCTCTGGCTTATTTTATTTTTAAATGGGGCAACTAAGGAGGTTGGAAACCTTTCCTAAGGGAAGCATTACTAAGGGAAGGTTGTGCTGGTCCACACAACCCTCTGAAGGAAATCTGTATCAGTCAAGCAAAGGAATTCCATATTTTCCTTCTCAGTCATGTAAGTTTGTTAGGGTTTGGGGTTTTTTTTTGTGATCAGAAAAAGATTCACTGATACAGAGGTGATGTTATATTTATCCTTGCTCAGCAAACTGAAAACCAGTGGGGACCAGTTCTACTCCACTTCCCATGGGAAAAATACACTGTCAGCTCTATTCTAGACTTGCTCTGCTTGCTCCCATTTCAACATTACAGACTTCACACACTTACAAGTGACAGCATGAATCAATTCTACAGTTTAGGACTAAAAATTTAATGTATATGTAAACTGTACTGACAACCCTACGACTTCTGAACCAGTAAATGGCGAGCTCATCACAATTTAACAAAGGAACTTCCTGTGAACCTCCATCCAAAAAGGCATCATGTGCCTGAGGAGGTCCAGGAAGAACACACCTGCTGAGAAGCCTTTCAGTGTCACACATTTTATCTCCTCACACCAGAAGGATATTGAAGAATACATAATCCTGTCAAGCCCAGTATCAGGATAATCAAAGCAAGTACATTAAACACTACAATTCACGAAGCCTAAAATAAGCCCAAACTTTATAAGGTTCCAACAGGAACAAGACCCAGTTTGCTTGCCCTTTTCTTTTTGTCTATTCGTTTTATTAATTCAGCACTTCAGATTTAAGAATTTTTTGAGTTCTCTAAGGAAACTTGACTATTACTTGGTGATACCTGCTAACAAATTCCACATCTGACTTCAGCTAATAATTTATATGAGCAGGTCCACTACAAAAGCAGTTTGGGGGTTTTAAAATGTAGTATTGCAACCTAAAAATCATTTATTACGTAGTTAGAATTTTCATGGAAACAACCAAGGGTCAAGGTGCAAAGTGAGACCTCACACTACTTAATTAATTTGCACCTTGTGACAGGAAAGGAAGTTAAATTCATGAAACCATGGTCCAAATAGTCAAACTTTGCTAAGAACATGGATTCAAAGCAGGAAGATGATCATCTGCACAACTGCAGAGTTCCATCAAGTATTTCAGAAGTCTCATCCTTCCCTTTTTCTGCACATAAAAGCCCCCTGAACAGTCATCATTACACAAGCCCCTAAGGAAGGAATTAACAATTTAGGGGAGCTCTACCCAGTGCCCACTAAAAGATGCTACACAAAAGGGCCTTTTCTCTCTTAATTTGAGATTACTTCTCACAGAATTTCAGAACAATTACCATCAAATCTTATCTATCAGTATAACTGATAAAATACCAAATTAATCAGATTGAAGTAATTAACATCTATATGCTATTACCCAATCACTAATCACACAAAACTCTGTGAACAAGCCCAGCCTTCCCAGTTTAACAGAGGTTTGGTGTATAAAGAGAACATTTTCTCTGACTTCCACACCCAACATCAGGGAATTATTTTATCCCATATTTCCACAGATGAGTTCTGTTGTATTGGTTTGGTTTTATTTTCACTAGAGTGAATGACAAAGTATTTAGGTTTCTTTTCCCATGCTAAATGGATTTTGAAGTGTACTTTTGAAGTCTATGAAGTATTATTATCAAAGGCCATTTCAGCACGAACGTGGGACAAAAAATTTGGGTTTTTTTTTAAGGAATAGGAAATACATAAAATTCTAATTCCTGTTCAAACTGCAACATTAAATAAGGCAGAGTAGGATTGCCATAGTTGATTGCTATACTTATTATTACCTGCACATAAACTTTTTTAAAATATGTTCAGTCTTAATACAGTAGCTGAAGAACATTAAACTGTTGTTTCCATTCATATAATTCAAAATGGGGTACAAGTACTTGTTAAACAAGATAAAAACCAAACCAGCTTTATTAAAACTCAAACTAAATAATGTTATTTATGGAGTTAAATAACTAGCCTATAAAATACTAACTTATAAACCCTAATCTATACCAAAAAAATCACGTGTACAGCAAGTTCTTAGTGCCGCTTATTGAAACAAAGGAGAAGACAACTCCTCCTACAAGTAACTTCTGCATAGCTGTAAAAGAAGTTTGTAATAGTAGAAGACAAATTAAAATTAGGGGTTTTAGCCAAACTCTTCTAAGCTATTTTCAATGACAATTTCCTCTGGTAAAAGACAGGCTCAGAGTAAGAAGACAAACATTTACTTCTGGTATTTACTGGTGCTTGGGGAGAAGAACTTGAGAATGGCATCTGGCTGAATGAACACATCATAGTCACTCCCCCCATGAGTTTGTTAATTCACACATAGAAATTATTTCTTAACTGTGTAAATGAGTAAGACTCTACAGCTTGAAGTCTAAATTTTTACACCTTCAAAATCTGGTGAAATTCTTAATGGATCTTCCTGCGTGCAATCATACAACCCCCTGCAAATCCTGCATTGGGCCAACAATGAAAAACAGAGCAACCAGAAAATTCCATTTACTCAGGAAATAAAAGTCCTTTAGTAATTTACACTGCCAAGTTTTTCCATACAAGCTTTCATAGCCTCTCATTCTTTCTGAATGAGAGTTTTATTGAAAACTAATTTTTAAAAGTGTATTTTCTTTTTTAGCTGGTGACATTTAACAGCAGCTAAAACTTCCAAGTCATTTCAGTCTTTTTTGGGCTGCAGAACTCTCTCTCCACACCAGCCTTTTAGTGATGGATCTCCTTTCAACTTCACCTTTGTTAACATCCCTTCTACCTTGCTCTCCTCCCAGCTTGCAGTGCTGGTACCAGAGGGACACAAGCTCAGCTGCAGCACAAAATAGATAATAAAACAGCTCTGAAGTCCTGCTGAAAAGGACGTTCTGCAGCTCCAGAAAGGAACAGCAAATAAAAATGTTACATGAGTATCTGTCAATTAAAGGCTAGCTTTGACAAGAAGATTAACCTTTTAATTATTCAAATATTTAAATGGTTTTAAACCAATTATTTTAAAACCTTTTCTGAGAGTTCAGTGCCGACAGTGTGAGTTCTGGGGCGACAAATCTCGTGCCTCGTCCTTGCTAAATGACCTTTTTCCACTAGCTTGGAGAGAATTATTCTATTTATTTTTTGTTGTTGTTATTGTTAATTTGATTTTCTGAAGGGGAAAACAGACAGGATGTGCTTTGACAAGCTGACAAACCCAGTGTGTCGTGTTCCTGGATTACTTACCAGCGAGTAGAGCTCTATTTGATCACCTCCTTTACCTACCACCACTGGCCTTTGGGGATCTCCCACAAGTGCTGCACAGGACTCTGGAGCCCTTGAAATTTCAAATTGCAGGTTGGTAAGCTCATGCATTGGCATTTGTCTCAAGCATTGACTTGGCCCTTATTACATGAACATCAACGCTGTACAGAGACCCCTCCTCCCTCAGCTACGCTTCCGCATTTAGTTTCTCGAGGAGGTGTGTGAAGTAAACAGGAAAGATTCCAAACAAATAAATAGTTTCCCCCACACCCTGCAATCCTTACTTTCTTTACAGGTCTTACTTCCTTGACAAAAAAAATAGAAAAATTAGCACCATGCTAGGGAAAACTTCTTGTCTAAGAAGACTGACACAGAAGAAAATTGCTTAATTTATCACTAGTTTGCACTTGCACAGACTACAGAGAATAAATATTTTTCGCCAGTTCTCTGGGATTTATACATTATTTACACCTACAGTGGTCAGACAGCTTATCAAAGTGGCCAACCTGAAAAACCCACAGGGCATTTAAGCACAGGCATTTAATTTAATGAGCCATACCCACTGAACACAAATGACATTCTCACAGGTGACAAAGGCTCTACCTTCAAACTAAGAGGGGAACAGAGGGAAATCCTGGTAGTTTTGTAGCAGGTCAATGCTAGATGCATGCACAGATGCACGTGTTTACCTACCTGATATTTCAAATTTCACCCATTCCAGCTCCATAATGCAGCGCTCTCAGGAAACATTAAAAAGAGGGAAACACTGACAGAGATCCCAAGCTAAAGAAAACGTTTCGGTAAAACAATTATCTGTCTGTGTTTACATCTGTCATATTTCCAGTTCAAAAGGAGCAAACAGTATTTTTCTTAGCATAAACAAGGTACAAAGTGACGGGCTCGGTTTTCAAAACAGCAAGGCAGAAAGTTTCAACTGCACTAAGTTATATCACTGTATCATCTAAACATTGGGATGGCCAAGGAGAAGTGGCTGCTGAGGCTACATTGATCTTACTTAGCATGTATGACATGAAATTTATTAGCAGTCAGGGGTAAGTTTAGGATGACACAACACAGTTTGAAACAGAAGCTAACCTTTTCATGTGATTGTCTTCTTTTCTTTAGTTGAATGAGATCTGTTTCCACCTTCTCGGCCAACTCCAGCTTCCTCTTGTTCCTCTTAAAAGCTGCTAAACTAAACCCTATAAAAATAGTTCAAAAGCAATAACTAAGTAAAATTTACTTAATTTAAGCAAATACTGATAAGCTGACATTTTGAAGGACACATCCCCCACTTCTTTGCTGATGCAAAAAGCATCAACAAAAAAGCCAACAACTAAGTATTTAATTTTCAGCCCAAAACGTTTACATCTTTTTTGCTAAGTTAAGAAGCTCTACTATTGTTCAGCAACAGTGATGAATAAAGTATCTCGTAGAAACACACTGGTGAACACATGGAAGCTGTGCTGGTCTAAATCTCCCTGTCTGGCAAAGCAGCAGCACTGCACAAGCAAGGAACAGAATAAGTGGCTTGTGTTAAAATTATTGTTTTTGACTGCTGACAAGTAAATAGATACCATGTGAGCTCATTCTGATATCCATAAACTCAGGCTACTATTTTATTACCTTAATTGCATATGTGTATGTTTACCCATGTATATTTAAAGCCACACAATAGTCTAGCAATAGTTTTGTGTTCCACAATCCAACACAGTCTAAAGACCACCTAGGTCTTGAAAAGGCAAACATGTATTTTCCACATCTAAGTCCCACATTCAGAAAGGAAGTGTTCTCTAAAGGGGAATAAAAAAATAAAATTGTTATGCTTAGGAGACCAAAATGACATGTTCCCATTTTAGAAGTTTCAGTTCATGAAAAAAAATTGCAGATATTGATATGTTTAGTTTAAATTAGACTCTATATCATCTACAGATTGTTTTAACATCCTCTGTGAAATGTAAAGAGGTGGGGGGAAAATGTCTTTTGTCACTTGTTTAATCACACCAAATCAAGCTATTGGGAGAGCAGAGTAATTTAAATTCGTGACTTCGACAAGGAAGGTTTTCTACTTAATCTATAAACTTCAAAAAATGGCATTTTAAATGAAATTCTGAATATAGCTACATCACTATTATTCAGAAGACTGGAACAGCTGCATGAACAGTCTAGGAATAAAGTCAATACTGCAGAGCCAACAGAACACAAAGCTTTCATTTACAATTCTCAAAGTAACAGACAGTGAGCATTTTACTTCTTTGAAACTTCTCCATGCAGGTGCCAAATTCACCAGGTGAACTCTCCTTTAAACCTGTTTTTTAAGTATATAAAACCAGACCTTAAACTACCCACAGTTATTCAAGCACATAACCTAAAAATAATAAGAAAGCTGGCATTTCTCTCCAAAAAACCTAATGAATACCAGTTTCTTAAAACTGCAAACACATATTAATCTGCCATCACCAAGAAAGGAACTTGTTCTAATACACAGAGCTGATTAATGCAGCTACTTTGGACAACACATTTCTACGTTTGAAATGAGGTCCAGGAGGTAAAACCCAAACACTTGATAAGGGGGAGCAGGTAAAGAATCACATTAGTCAACAACTAATTGGGGGTGGGGAGAAATAAATAAGAGACCTCACACAGAATCAAGAACCTGTTAAACAGAAGCACCCCAAATAAGCCAAGCCAGGACATGGTTTTTGACAGTTTTTAAACAGGAGAACTTCTAAGTTGACTTGAGTTCACCAAGCACAGCAAATACCTGTGGGCAGAGCCACGGAGGGGGTGAGCAGGAATGGTGTGTGGCCCTGGTCCTCCTCAAAAGCAGGTATTACACAGGGAAAAATATGCCTAAGCCTGGTACCTGCTGCTGCCACTGCCTCCCTGCCAAGTCATAAAATAGGTGTACCTAGAGAGGCAAAACAAACAGGAGGGTGCAGGAGCCCAGAGAGGCAAACCTAAACATGAGCAGCTTTCCTTGAGCCCCAGAACTCGACATTAGCAGTGTCCTGAGACCTCCTGCAGTATCTGCATGTTCCCCTGTTCAAACTGTGGAGAAGGCAGGGACTAGTGCCAAGCTGCCCTTCCAGCTGCACAGTGCTGCTCTAAGGCCTCTCAGCAACTCCACTCCACCTACACCTTGGAGTATTTATCCTGTTTCAGTCACTTCAGTCCTCAGTCCTAGCTAAGTAATTAATTTTCAGAGCTTACCTTGAGCGTTAAAGATTCTGTTTGTTTTCCCACAGCGAGAAAAAAAAAACACCCTGAAGATTTGCTTCAGAGGATCTAATTGTGAACAGCAACTTCTAACGTGTATTGTTAATTCAAACTGGTATCAATAAATTGGGAAATACAAGGCAGGAACCAGGTCATTATTAACAAGGAAGTTTATCTATCTTGGCCCATGTCAGACAGACAGATGAAGGAAGTTTTCTAGTAACATACACTGATGCAGGTGGGAAGGGATATTAAGGAGGTTGTGTAGTCCAATCTCTCCCCAAGAAAACAAATGCAATTTAAAAGGGCTGCATAAAAACTTGTCAGGAGATTTCACGACTCCTCTGGGCCTCTGCTCCAGTGTTTGATCAATCTCAGGTTTAAACAAATAATGTATTAATTCATACTCTTCACTTTTATTCAGTTTATCATGAAATATCAGACCTTTCCACCCTGTGAGGGAAAGTCAGTCTAGTCAGATATTCCCTAGAAGGGAAATTCCTGTGCTCACACTACAGTCAGCTTCAGGACAGTTATTAGAATTAACTTCCATCTGAAAGGTGAAAATTTTGTTTTAGCGAGGACTGATGAATAACAGCCTTTTGATAATAAAGGAAAATAATTACTATCAGTACTTACTAATTCCTCTTAGCAGGATAAACCAGCTAATACCTCCAAAATGCCCCAAAAACTGTGAAAGGACCAGTTTATAAATCAAAACTGAACAGTTTTTTCCTCTGACATAGTTATGCCTGACTTCAGTTAAAAATAAAATGTCTTGAACCTTAAATTTGAATTTTTCTCTCCAGAATAAGGGAATAAAGACCAAAGCAAGTGAAAGGCTGCCTGCCCTCAGTTTACTCCTGTCTTTGTGATGTTCTACCTACGTAAACCCACCATAAATGCCATTAAAATAAGCAGCAGTCTGGTTGCTTTGTCTTGCTCTACTAGTGACAAAAGAAACTGAAAAACCCAAGTGAGCTTCAAACTAAACAAATGAAAGATGAAATGAAGAGTTTCCTGAAAACATCCTCCAAGTTTGGTCCTTGACAGAGAATATATGATGGGGTTTTAAGTTCAATAAAACATTTCATGAACTAAAATACAATCCAGGATTCAAATGTGCTTATTTAACAATGCACACACACAACATGGAAAAATAACCCACTGCGAATTTGTTTTGAAAATAAGCAGTACACAGAGAAGGAAAACTCCTACACACAGTTTGAGTTCACAATTCACGTTAAATCTAAAACAAAACCTCAACTTGGTGGTGCAAGGACGCCAAGAAATTTCACTTGTCCTTAATGAAGGTATAAAAACCACTCTCACCTCTCTCCAACAAGACAGAATATTCCAAGCTTGGGAAGGGGAAAGGGACACAACACAGGGATGTTTTCCTAAAACAAATGCAATATAGTTACACCAGCCTGATGTTACCTGGGGCCAAGGAGAAAGGGAAGTAAGACAGGCAGAGCTTACTGACTGGGGAGGAAGCTACAAAGAGAGGTAAGGGAACAGATGGAATTTTAGTTTGAAAAATTACTGGATCACAGCCCAGAGGCCTTGTTGTTGGAATCTGTGCAAAGGTATTTAGTAAAACATTCTTTGATTTTGCTCAAGAATTCCAAAGTTCAGTTGCATATCAAGTAAGTGCTTTCAGATAAAAATCCCTGGCAGTAAATCCCTACTCAGCAACTGCATGGATGCTCAAACTCATGCTTAGAAGAGATGGGTTTTGGGAGCTACAGAATACAAACAGCTATTCTGTCCTGCCCCCTCATTTATGCACATTGAAAACTACTTCAGAGCTGCTAAGAGAGGAAGAAGGAAAAAAAAGACAAAAAGCCCCCCAGTTTTACAAAATGACTCTCTGCTCATCTTACAGTGCCATGCTCAGGCCTCATCCAGATTAAAGACTTAACAGCTGACAAGAGAACGAAATATTGTTAACTAAATTACTAAAATATTATTAAACTAAAATATTATTAAAAGCTCAGCACCTCAGTCTCACATTTACGGTATTTATCACATGTCCCTGCAATGGGGCACGAGGTGCCTCTTTAAGAATGAATGAATAATAACCCAAAAACACCTTCCCAGTCCTCCACATTCTCTCCCTGTGGAGAATGTTCAGTGGCTGAGCACAGAACAGGTGGAAGCAGCTCCTGCTTAACACCACTGACCTGCAGGAGAGGTTGGTATTATGGGATGTGTTGTCAGAAGGAGCGCTTGAGAACATGATGTATTATCTGTAAATGCAGAAGAGAAGTCTCCCAGGCACCGCTGTGCTCAAAGCTAAGACTGTTAGAGATGTTCCCATTATCAAAAGGTTTTTGTACTCCAGTATACTCTGATGAGAAAGGGCCACAAGGCCTTCATTACATCGTTAATTAGCACAAGATTCATCTCCTAAACTAGCACAGCTAGATAATAAATGCAGCTCTTTCACAGGCTTTTTTCAACGTTATCACCACATTAACAGAAAGAGAGGAGAAAATAATTTTCACCAAGCAGGTCAGTGGAAAAGAAAGAAAGAGATCATTAGTTTCTGAGTCAGCTCAGAGATGTCATCCGTGTGCCACTTGCTCGATAAAAAACTTGCACATCATCTGCTCATCTCTTGTACTAATGATGTTGGCACTCTGATTATTCCCTTAACTCTTTTTACTGTTACACTGCATATAAGTAAAAATTTAATCAAAAATCTTGACAACTCTATTAGATAATGATACAGTGAGTAAGTAAATGAAAGACAACTGTACTCCCCATTCTACACAGCTTTTCAGAACCTTTCCTTAGTCACCTTTCAAAGCCCATTGGAAATGATCCAGAGAACACAGGTAAGAGAAAAGTCATTCGAGAGAAAAATCAGGCTTGTCCTACTCATGGAGTCCTTGAAACCACAGAAAAAAAGGCAAGACTCAGGTACTATTGTTTTTTAAATAAGGGTATTATTGATACACATCTACTAATTAATTCT